TGCGTGAGATCCCTAGGGTGGGATCTAGGTACACTTGGACCAACCACCAGCCTTCTCCTATTCGCTCCGTCCTAGACCGCGTTCTTGTTTGCTCAAATTGGGATTCTCTTTTCCCGCTCGCGACACTTAAATCTAAGGCCATTATGGGCTCGGATCATGCCCCTCTTATTCTTGATGCTGGAATTCACTCTACTTCCTCCCCCTCTAGATTTCAGTTTGACGCCTCTTGGCTCCTTATTGAGGGTTTCTGTGACCTCCTGAGCTCCAAAATTAATACGATTCTTTCTGTCCCTCGTCGTTCTTTTGGACCCATGGATGATTGGTATAACTGTTCGGCTTTGCTTCGCAAATTCCTTCGGGGATGGTTCCGGAACTACGCGGCACAGGAGCGCAGGGAGAAGGCCCTTCTTTTGTCCCAGATTGAGGCCCTTGATGCTCGGGCGGATGCCTCTGGCCTTTCTGACTCTGACTGGTCCCTCCGGTTCTCCCTTGAACGTGTGTTGATGCACCTGCATCGGCTTAACGAGATTTATTGGCGCCAGAGGGGCGCCACCAATTGGCTACTTAAAGGGGATTCCCCCTCTGTCTATTTCTTTGCGATTGCGAATGGGAGATGGCGCAGATGTCTAATTGATAGCCTGATCATAGATGGGGTTCGTACTTCCGACCAGGGCATCATCCTTAACCACGTGGTCTCTTTCTTTTCTTCCCTTCTCTCCGCCAAGCCTAATCAGGGTTTCAGGTTTGCTGCTAACTTCTGGTACCAGGGAACTTTGGTCTCTCAGGAGGAAAATTCGACTTGATGATTCCCTATTCTGAAGAGGAAATTTTGTCTGCTATCATGAAGGCTAACCCTAATTCTGCCTCTGGCCCGGATGGGTTTTCTATCCCCTTCTTTAAAAAGTTTTGGCCTATTCTTAAAAATCTTATTTGCCAAGTGATTCAAGGGTACTGCCTGGGCACAGTTGATATCTCCAGGCTGAATTATGCGGTGATCTCTCTTATTCCCAAGATTAAGGGTGCTGACTTAATTTCCCAGTTTAGACCTATCGCGCTCATTAATAACTTTGCCAAGTTCCCTGCCAAGTGTCTGGCCACTTGCCTCACCCCGATGGCCCATCGCACCCTATCTCATACTCAGTCGGCTTTTATCAAGGCGCGCTTCATTCTGGACGGAGTTCTCTGCCTCCACGAAATCGTTCATGATATTCACAAATCTGGGAACAAGGCAGTTATACTCAAATTAGATTTTGAAAAGGCCTACGATTCGGTTAGTTGGGGTTTCCTGAGACAAGTCCTACTTGCAAAAGGGTTTGACAGTGGGGTGGTACACCGTATCATGCAGTTGGTCATGGGGGGCCACACTGTTGTTAATGTTAATGGGCATATTAGTAACTTCTTTAAAAATTCTAGGGGCCTGCGGCAAGGCGACCCGGCCTCGCCCATTCTTTTTAACTTCGTTGCGGACGCCCTTTCTAATATCCTTTCTAGAGCTGCGGAGGCCGGTCATATTTCCCCTGTTAGTTCCCACCACATCCCGGAAGGAATGACGCATCTTCAGTATGCTGACGATACTATTATCTTGGTGGAACTTAATGATCTTTGCATTGCCAATCTCAAGTTTCTCCTCCTCTGTTTCGAAGCTCTCTCGGGGCTCAAGATTAATTTTTCTAAAAGCGAACTTATTGTCACGGGTGTGTCTGACGTCGAAGCTCAAAGGGTGGCACGCCTATTAAATTGCTCTCTGGGCTCCTTTCCTATTAAGTATTTGGGCTTGCCTATCACTTCTGACAAGCTCTATGCCAAGGACTTTGCTCCTGTGGTGACCAAGGTCGGTAATCGTGTGATGCCCTGGAGGGGCAGATATAACACTCAGGCGGGCAAAGTGGCCTTAATTAATGCATGTCTCTCCTCCCTCCCTATGTTCTTGATGGGGTTCTACCTTCTTTCTATGGGTACTCATGCTGGTTTTGACAAACACAGAGGGGCCTTCTACTGGAACGCGGCCGATAACAAGCGGAAGTATCGCCTGGTTAAATGGGACACCATATATAAGCCCAAAAGCCTTGGGGGGTCGGGCATCATTAACACTCTGGTTATGAACAAATGTCTGATCATTAAATGGTGGTGGAAGATCATGAACACTCCCCATGACAAACCTTTGTGGTTCTCCATCTTAAAGGCGAAATACTTCCCCTCCTGTAGCCCAATGTTTGCCCGAGCTTCTGGGGCATCTCAATTTTGGCGCGATCTTGTTAAACTTCGGCCTACCTTTCAAGGCCTAGTCAAATATGTTGTTGGCAATGGGAAATCTACTAGGTTTTGGCTCGACTGGTGGTGTGGGGCCTCTCCGCTGGCCTCTACTTTCCCTGTTTTATTCTCCTACTGTCCAAACCCTCAGATCTCTATCTCGGAGCTTGCGTCGAATAACTGGGACCTTCAGCTGCGCCGCTCCCTCTCTCCTGCAGAGTTGGAAGACTGGCAGCGTCTTGCTGCCCTCTTCCCTTCGCTCTCGGAGGAGGAAGACACAGTTGTGTGGCCCCATTCTGCTTCTGGCCGCTTCTCGGTTAAATCCTTGTATAGCAAACTTATTGAGGGATCAACTACCTCTAAATTTAAGTGGATATGGAAAGCTCGTATTCCCCCTAAGATTAGAGTGTTTCTCTGGCAAGCCTCTCATGGGCGTCTTCCTACGGGTGACCAAATTCGTAAACGTAATGGCCCGGGTTCTGACAGTTGTGTTCTATGTGGGGCGAGAGAAGATACTCCTCATATTTTTTTAACTGCGTCCTGGCTAAGCTCTTTTGGTGTTGTATCAGATCTTGGTTGCATGTCTCATGGGCTCCGACCTCCTTTGCGGACTTACGAGCCTTGGCTAATTCTTTGGTTGGGGCCTGAAGGAGATTGTTTTGGGTCGGCTTTGCTGCCATGTGTTGGTCCTTATGGACGACAAGGAACAAATTTACTATCGAACATGTTTTTCCTGCTAAGCCTGCTGATTGCTTATTTAAGACTTGTATATTCCTGCAGCAGTGGAGATTATTGACTAAGGAGGAGGACAGGGATGCATTTGACGCCATGTTGGCCAAGATCCGATATTCTGCTATCTCCATCCTTCCAAACCAAGCGGACCCGTAGACGTTGCTGCGTTGCTTCGTTATCTTATCTTCTTCCGGCCTGCGTGCCGTGTACTGGCCTGGGAGCCATGTACTTAGACATTCCTCTTCGTGTTCTGGCTTGATACTCTGTTATTCCTGTGTTGGTTGTCTGGATCCTTGTTAACTCTGCCTGGTGGCTTTATCTATAAAGTCAGGCTATGGCCTTTTATCTAAAAAAATCCTGTGGCCAAAAACATCTTGTTTTCCTTGTGGTCAAGACAATCATGAGAGTTTTGAAACATGCGGCCAGCACGACATGAGTCATCCAAGTACTGGAAGAGTTGATCGTGTCTTGTACTATTGTCGACCTTGCATTATTAGGGACTTTTGATTCGCGGAAATTTCAAACGCAGGAACAAGAAAAATACAAAATTGAAGTGGCATGGCAACTTGAATTCTATTCTTATGGAATAGCAAACCATAGGAATTTAAACCAGAGAGTGCTTGATGGCACAGAGAAAATAAAGAAATTATTAAAAAAGGTTGGAATAGATGCTAGATTCCTAACAAAATACTATAATACAAATGATTCCTTAGAAAAAAAAAGATCTAATACTACGAATCAAACGACCAATGTAGAAAAAAATCTTAAGAATTTTAATCCTTTGGAAAATCCTACAAAATTCCTTTGAATCAAAGTAACCTTAGGCAGGAGATACCGCTCCCCTCCCTCTCGTCGGTGTTCGTTCGTATATCTGGTCCTGGATCTGGTCTTCATTCATCTGTGTTCGCCTCGCCAGCCTCCGTTTCGATATGGTCTTTATTTATCTATATGTTCGTGTATTTACAGGTTGGATCCTTCTGATCTACAATTCTCTTCAGCAACAATTTTTGTGGTTTTGGCGTGTTGATCTTGTTCGGCCTTAGCATAATAACTTTTCGATTGTCTACAACAATAAAGTTTGCATGGCTTCTATGCGGAAGGGATTTCTGGTGTTCTTTGTACTGTCCTAACAAGTTCTGTCAGTTGATGAATAGGTCAAAAGTCTGAGGGGGTGAGGGATGGGGGACCTGTACGTTTTTTTTGAGGGGGAGAGAGAATTTTTTTGAGAATGGGGGGACATGTACGTGGGAGGAACATATCTTCTTTTTGTTGGTGGCGCACCCGCTAACAATATGGGATGGGTCCGTCGACCGTCGAACCAAGTATGCATGCCATGAGATCTACATAACGCCGGAAGATCGACATAGGACGAGGAAGGAGGTGGAGGTCGGCCACCCTTGCTACACGAGGCGACCTCCGCCGCGCAATCCGTCTACTACACTCTCCACCCACCTAGCAACCTCATCCACTCGGATCCATCAGCCCGCCCTGTTCACGAGTGCCAGTGCCAGTGCCCCCCTCTGCTGATCAATCCACGCCGGCTTGTCCTCGGGCTGCAGTCAACTCCCGTCGTGTCACTTGTCACTCACACTCACCACTGCAGGTCCAGGGACATTCCCCTCGGCCCCCTTGTGCCCTGTACAATACACCAAATCTGAATAATGCCCACCGCATTACGGCCAAAATGCATGTCACTGGTGTGAATGATTTTTTTTTCCAGCAGGCAAAACTTATACATCAACATGTAGGAACAAGCATCCTGAAGATCCATCTAGAAATTGATGTTGCTAAGCATAAAAAAACAAACCAAAATCAAATAAACGGTAATGGCAACAAGACTATGTGTATTGTGTCCACGCGCCCAATCTGAACCTGTTACATATCCTTCTTTTAATGGTCAGCAACGCGTGAAGATGAGTTCATCAGCGTCGAATTTGGCACACAGAAAATTTGTGCCCGGTGGCCAAAACGGCCTGTGCTGCCGAGATGTGTCTGTGTCGATTGAAGCTTGAGGAGGCTCACTTTGTCTTCTTGTCCTCCGTGCTCGTCTCAGCCTTGGCCTCGATCTGTTGGGCAGCCGCTGCTCCTTCCAAAGTTTGGGGTGCTGCGGGTTCGTCTTCCCCTCCAAAGCCAAACTCGTTGACACGCTTCTTGTCAACTGGGTATACCCACCTCTGGTAGAGGTATATCAAGAAGATAACATCTGCGGAACAACAGGAAATGGTCAGTTAGCAGCCTAAAGACTTGATAAAATGTCCACTGCTATCAGCAATGATACTAGTTCATCTTACCATCTCTGAAAACCGAGAGACGATGCAACCACGGCATCTTAATCACAAATGCAAACAGATCATCAATTATAGTGTTGAGGAACTTGTAGGTCATTTGTCTCCATGGCATGTGAGCGACGGACTTCAGCTTGTAGTTGATAAATAATTGTGGGCACATCATAATGAAACCTGAAAAATGTAAACAATGTATACATAAGTTCCATTACTGATCATATATACCTACGAGAGTGATCCCCACCACTTCAACATGCTACCATGCATGTGAAAACCATTTACACTAATTGTATTACATCAATATTTTACATTGATACAATAATCAAATATTTGTGTTCCAACTTCATCAAAATATATAGCAACCAATTTCCGCAACAACAACAACATGCGGGGTATCATCTAGTTTGCCTAGTGAATCATGAAAAATACGTGAAACGGTGTTGGAGGAATTACTTACCAAACATGTAAACACAACTTGTGAGGGAAGAGAGTATCCACGAGTACCAGCTCTTGTGTTTATCATACTTGAGTGAATAGATAGCAAAACCAGCCATAAGGACTAGAAGGACATACGTAAGATACTTCATTGCAAGCGCATCGTACTCCTTAGTCTTATTCTGTGCATATGACTCACGATCCCGGAATCTCAACATGGGTATCTTTCCACTTCTGTCAATCTGGACTCAAGTGAAGAGAAATTGTTCCAAGAGAGAAAAACTAGTGAGAAAATGCAACAGATTTGTATATCATCAAGCTTTATGAGGAAAGAATAACTCATAAATTAGACCTCACAGTAGAGAATACACTGCGCTTTGGTAATATCTGTATACCATCAAAGTCAAGGAACAGTGATGGCTTAGTCCTGACTTAGCTGACACAAGGTCATGATTCTGGATCAACACATGGGTTTTAATAAATGCACCTAAGCAAATGCACAAAACAAGCGCTAACCCAGTATTGCAAATTTGCCACTGAATGATGGGAAAGAAATTCCAAGTGAATAGGTAGTGCTCCCTCTGTCTCAAAATATCAAAAAATGTCTTATATTTTGAGACAGGGGGTGTGCATAATTGGTTTCTTCATACATTGACCCATGAGCTTGATTATTTCAATCCTGTGTCTAGCGCTTTACCCAGTGTTTAAAGTATTTACTTTTCAGGTGAAAACAACTAGGATCAAGTAGTTCCATTTAGTGCATATTGCATGTCAAGCATACCGGCTCTGTTTGTATGCTTGTGTATAAATACTAACAGAACCAAATAATACAATCATCATAATAGGCTTACCTCAACATGCATCGCTTTTCCTATCTTCCAAAATTCAATGCACACACCAACTCCAGAGCTAGCAAGAATCATCCATGATGTATCATTGTCAAGCAGGTACAGAAATATAATCAGCTGACAAATGAAGTTCAGAACAACAGATTTCGCTGAAAGACCTTCCATGGACTTGTTTTTATTCCAGAACTGGATATCTGATCAATGTGAAACATCATAAACACATGAGTTATTGTTGGATTATACTCATTTTTATGGTATTAAATAAACCATGCTGTGCACTTACCATTCTTGAAAGCCAGGAAATCGAACAGAGAGTGGAACAGAGATACAATCATGGTCAACCCCAGTAGATATGGATTTCCTTCAAGGAAAACCCTCTGCAAAAGCAGTCCAAGGTCAGTGAAAACCCGTAACAAGCAAATCTGACTAACACAGCAGGCATATAACAGAAGCAACCATTTCCAAGGAACCTGAATTAGACGTGCATATACTTGGCATCTCACAAAAGAAAGGGACATCACTACCACACAGAACAAAATAGAGCACGTCATATCTCCAAAAAAAAGGCAGGAGTCTGAATGGGCACAGTTGAAAACTTCCATATACCTTGAGCTCATCAGCCTCGCCTTCAAGCATACTTCCATAACTACGATGAACTTGGAAAGACTGCTCAATCTGTAGAAATAATTGCCACTTGGTCATGCTGATAGGACTAACTTCAAGGTTCAAGGTCAGTTCCTTCACAGTCTCGTTGAGTGCTGTCAATTTGTCCCTCAACAGCCAAAATTCATTGAAGAATACAGTTGGATAGTAACTGTTTGTAGTTGGATCCACATTCAAATCTGTATATATATGGTCAAGGAAATACCAATCCTTCCCTCACTGAGAAAATGCTAATCTTAACAAGATATATTTTAAACAATAAATTAGATTCATCAGAAGTTGGCTACGTGCAACGTCATCTTCAAGTCTAAAAAATTGATTCAAGTATAAGAATAACATAGCAGTATGTAACACGTGTGTGTTGGAAGAAAATTCATAGGAAAAAGAAGATAAAAAAGATAATATCACACTATAATTGTTACAGTTGAAGGATACATGGAGCAACATTTGGAGGAATGTTGTTTTGGGGATACCTGTGAAATAAAAATGGTCAAATATCAATTGAAAATTTCATACGACAGATGAACAACAACGAAGAACTAAAAGCCGTGAAACTAGAAAGAAACAATTGTGCAATTGTTACATGGTTAATATGAAGCTGAGATGAGAGAATCCACATATGTCAAAATTAACAAGAAGGATCTAAAATCATAAAAAAGGGCAGCCCAGTGCATGTAGCTCCCGCTTGCGCTAGGTCATGAGAAGGGTCTGACCACTTTGGGTCTATAGTACGCAGCCTTTCCCTACATTTCTGCAAGAGGCTGTTTCCAGGACTTAACCCGTGACCTCATGGTCACAAGGCGACAGCTTTACCGCTGCACCAAGGCTCTATCGGCAGTTTCAGAAGAATCTTAAAACACAAACGATCGCATGGTATAGCAGCGCCGGTTTGTGATTAACATCCACTGGAAAATAGTTTTCAGCATGCAGATTGCGAGTGTATGCCCTTACGGTTAAAAAAAAGTCTCCAAAGTCAAACTTCTTTATAATTGTCCAAGTCTATAGAAAAATGTGCTAATATGCACAACCACGACATCAATATATATAGTATGAAAATATGTTTTATGACGAATCTAATTAAACTAACTTTATGTTGTCGATGTTGACATATTTTTTCTATACATAGACTTGGTCAAACCTAAAGAAGTTTGACTTTGGACAAAGCTAAAACTTCAAATAATTTGGAACGGAGGGGGTACTTCATGATATTTAGAAAGGAAAGTAAAAGATATTAATCACGCCAATGCAATTAAAATTCAAAATGAATAAATAATAGTTCCAGGCATATACAAGTGGAAATGTGAAATATAGTTTTATCTTGTGCATACCGTGTGAAGTCATCAACAAGATTTATTGTCACATTTGGTTTCCAATAAGAAATATATTCAACTGGGCCCTCCTCTTTGTCTTCGGACTCTTTGTTCTCCTGCAGAAATCAAATGCGGTCTTCTGTTAATTGCTTTTTCATAGGAGATATTCTGTGTTTGCTGGAGATAATCTATACTAGAAATTTCTAGTGCATACTGTCCCAACAATAAAGAATCAAGTTAATGACCTTAGGGGGTAGCTTTTCCTCGGACTCATCCGAATCTCCAAGCAAGCTCTTCTTATGACCAGCTTTTGATTTCCGCAAGTATGCCACAATAGCTAAATAGGTATAATGCAGTGAGCATTTCATACAAACATGCAATCAATAAAAAGGACGGTTGAGATGAACAGGAAACTTACGATGTGTCCTTCCAAATGCAGATTTTTGCTCATATTCAGGATCGGTAGGGTCCACAGGGTAACCCGAACGGGAAAAATAAACATGAGCATACAAAGAGCCATTGTGCTTGAGAGCCTATGGCAAGATCCATTGACACAAAATTAGGCAATCCAACAAAATATAACCATAACATAATTGTAAATTGCAGCAAATATTATTCTACCTCCGTTGGATAGTATGTCAGTGTGTGTGTTCTGGTACTGGTAGGTGTCCAGACTGCATATGGTATGTTTGTTTCATGCCAGATGAGTGCATCCTCATTACCAAAGTCGCTAAATTTGTCATTCTCCGATAAATACATCCACATATCCTGCAGCAACATAATCATCATCAATTTGTGTTTCAGGAAAACGCAAAATGGGCAAGACTTCAAGACTAGTGCTTCATGCATGCACTGTGCTACCTCCAAACTGTCATAAAATTTGGGTGGCACTACCGAGGAATTTAATAAATCCAGTAACGTCCTTCTGCTTGATTGGTCCCATTAAAAATGCCAAACATGTAAATTTGGCAAGATAACAAATCAGGCCAAATTTACGGCGGGGGGGTTGACTTCAACTTATAATTTACTGAAAACAGGTACTACATAGCAACATTTGTAATATTCAATTATCTTAATATGTAGACCTGTATAAGACATTACCACATGCCACTGAATCGTCGATTTGACAAAAAAATGGATTTACACCTCCTCGATCAAATATTTGGAGCAATATGATACAACAAGTTACAAGGTCGGTGTGCACCGCATAAACACCAAAAAATAACTTCCCACCCAAAATAAAAAAAAGTGACAATCTACCAAATAAATTGTACAGTTGGCTTTATCTCGAGGAATACCTAGTTCAGACAACCTCACCAAAGTCTACATGAAAAACCCATAAAGAAACGTTATCCATGCATAGTGTGATGTTTTCAGCTTCATTACGGACACACGGTACATTGCATACTATGACATCCTAAGCTTCATCGTGGACAAACATTTCAAAGAACAACAGAAAAAGTGTTTAAACATCAATCATCTTCACAACTCACTCAACAGTGAACCAGCTACACCGCATAATCCAAAATTGTTGAGATCCTTGGTGTATCTTTTCTTTTTCCTTGCATACTCTACTAGTAGTTCCGAACAACTAAGAACGCCCTTGGCCTCCTGAGAGGAGATCATAAAACATCCAACTAACATGCATGCCTTTCTTTTCACAGTACATCAAACCGCAATGCTGTGGAGCACCACTATCTCCGTGATCTGCTTGTTTTAGAACAAACGTGGCCTACTTGTTCGACAGCCTCCAACAGGCACACAAACAACAGGTGTCTTCGCATAAAACCGACTAAATCAGCTCCCCCAATTATAATAATCAGCACAAATACACCCTCTGATATTATTAAGAAAAAGAAAAGTTCGAGATCACAGTAAAAAAACTGATGAGATCGCTGCACAATTTTCACCCCGGAGCAAGCAGAACCCAACAGCACTGCATGAGCGCGGAGCCCCCCGCCTTTACTGACCCCAATAATAAACCGCTCTAAAACCGCCATAGAAACCTAACAACACGCCTCCTCCACCCAAAATCGAAGTTTCTGGGGTGTGTGGGGGCGTTCTCACCATTGGCTCTCCCTTCTGAAAGAGGTTGGACATGAGCAAGCCCGGCTCCGTGGGGGCGCGCTTGGGGCCGAAGAACTTGGACGCGAAGTACCAGAACACGGCCATCCGCACGATGCCGGCGAGGCTCTGGCCCAGGCCGCCTCCCTGCCGCCCAGCCGGGGCCTGCCCCTGCGGCTGCGCCGCGACGGCGGCGGCAGCCGGCTGCGACATGGCCGCCGGCGAGTTAGATCGGGGCGAGGAGGGGGGGAGGGAGCCGCCGAGATGCGATGGGAACAAGAGTTCTTTTTGGAGGAGCTCTGTGTGATTGATTCTCCGGGGATTTAAGCGGGGGGTGTGGTTTTACGATAAATTTATAGGTTTCTTTTGCAGATACGTAGGTGGGTTGTTGAAAAATTAAGCCTGGAGTCCCTGCTCGTGCGGACGCCGGACTGCTTCGGTTTCGCTACTTTCAGAGACGTAATTTCTGAGAACTTTAGGGGTGCTGGCAGTGAAAAGGTAGATGATGCTGGGATTTGCGCAACGAGGCTAGTTGCCGTCTTTAAAGGAAGCAAATTGTTAGGCGCACCCGAGTCAAGGAATCAGCAAGGTTTTTTTTCTGTTTTGATGATTGATGAAGTGCGTCTAGATATATCCGTTTGAACGTTAACGAGAGAGTATAACTTAGACACGACGCACACGCACGCACTCACTGCATGAACAAAAGAGACTCAAGATTGCTGGATTCACCGCAGGTACATCGCTATCGACGTGAATGTCGTCTCCACCATTAATTTGCATTAACGGGATATGCATGATTGAACCTGAAGCTTAATCTAGTTTTGTCCTCCAACAATTTCACAAGAATCACACATTTTAGATGACCGGAGATTATGTGCAGATTGTCATGTCTTTTACTAAAATTAACAAAATAAGCTTATACATAGTCGCGCTTTTATGATTGCAAATACAAAAGATCATGGCTTCTACGTGGATGGCACTCATTCTCGTTGTATTCTACTATTCAACTCAAGGTAGGTCAAAAGGCCCAAATTTCTGTAAAGCCGCAATAAAAGAGCGCATCTGTTATATTCTTGCTCATTATCGTCTTTAGATCTTAAAAAAAATCCCACTAAAAGTGTAATCCGCCACATAAAACAAGACAATGATACGAAAGAAAAGTTATCCCAACCCTGACCACTGATGTCGCGGCTCAATCCCGCCACTGCCTCTGCTTTCTCCTCTAATCCAGTTGATCCCTATGTCGCTCGGAAGGGGTACCCGAGAGGCGATCCATATCTAACCATCATTGCTCTCACACGATTCGTATGTTGTCACTGTCATCGGTGCTGCTACAATGGCGACGGGCCGTCAATCTCGACGGTGCGGCTCCCTCCCAACGATGTTCTGCCTTCCGATGATGTCCCGATGGTGCAGCGAGAGATTGATAGAGGAGACGATGAGCCGAGATGGAGGCTCCAGTGACTTCCGATGTCGTGGTGGTTGGCGGTGGATGGGCCCGGCCCGGTTGCAGCCGAATTATCAAGCAAAGATAAAGTCACTCCTTGGATGGGTTTGAGAGAAGGTCCTCGGGTAAGCTTCGATGTGGTGTCGATGGATGTAGGCGTAGACTATGCTTGGTTTTATTATCTAACCAACCAATGGTGTTTCTTCTTTTTCTTACCGTCGATCGTGGGTAATCAACAAGATGGTGGCCTCTCATGGTGGTGTGCCAACCCAAGCGGTGGAGGCGGCTTCCTTGACACTTATGATGATTTCTCCTTCAGCGCGAGCAGGGCATGGACTTGTTCAACGTGGGAGGTTGGCTCGTGATGCACTATGGGAGCAAGTGTGCGCCGGCAACAAAATTGGATGGCAACTTGTGGTAACCATTTCAACTAGATCAAGCAACGCCAGTGCATCTTTGTATCCTTGCTGAAGGTGTTGGTTCGGATTTCTACTTCAAGGGTGATAGCCCCATATTTAACCTTTTGGTTACACCGGGCAACATGTTGTACGATTGACTGTTTTCTTTTTCAAGATCTTGTCTTTGAGTACCACGTACTTTGTTAGGTTCTAGTAGTGTTTTTATCCTTTTTGCGAACATGTATGTGGAGATGTGAGTTGTTTGTGGTAATGTTTGAACATGTGAGCTATTGTTAGACTATACGTTCATCTTGCCGCTAAACATTATTATAATAAATGATGTGGTTGTATGCATCCAAGAAAAAATGATGAGAATTTTTTCTAAGGACAAAGTCAATAAAAAACGTGACTATGCACAAGTGTGCATACTATATATTAAAGGAGAGGATGGGGGTAAAAAGCCCCTCCGCGTTGGTGACTACAAATACAATCCCAACTCCACGCGGAAACTAAGCTCTAACACTCATGTGTGCCCACATTGCGAGAGCCCCAAGAAAGGCTTTGACCTCTCCCTTTAGAGTGCCCGCTCGGTTCCACATTCCAACCACAAGGTTAATCGTATTGAGCCACAACTGCTCAGAAACGATAATACCAGGTACTTTTTGGGGGGGAAGGTCATCATGACTAGATTTATTAATATCAAACAATGCTTACATTATCCGCTAAAAGTTTAGAAATAACAGCAGGAGGTGAGTCCAACCACAAGTTTGGTGGACCAACACGACCATTTCACGCTAGCACTTGAGCTACCATATTAGAATCACGATTACAATGCTCTAAAACGACCTTCCCGAAACCAACTAAAAGTAACCGACATTCCTCGAGAATTGGGCCTGTAACCATCGAGTGCCCCATGGGTTGTTGCACAACTTCTATTAGAACCATGCAGTCTGATTGCACTGGATTGAATTACAGCCAATTGTATTTGCAAGCTTCGGGCCCTTCACCAGAGCTACAGCCTCAGCCAAACAAACATCGGCTACGTGATCAAGGTCAGCCGTCGCTACTGCAATGAACATGCTAGTACTATCTCGCAAAATTGCTCCACTGGCCCCCATGTTTTCTTCCTCTGAAAATGACGCATCCATATTTAAAACAACTTGGTTTTGTAGTGGCTTCTTCCAACAATTCAAGGCGTTGTTCAAGGCGAAACCAAAATGGCTCTGCGTTTTGGAATGAGATCCAAGCGGTGAGACCGGCCTTTACAGTTGGGGCTCAGTTTAACGTTAACAATGGCATGGCCACAAGGTTCTGGCTCGACTGCTGATGGGGCCAGACTCCGCTGTGGCAATCTCACCCGGCGCTATATCAACTCGCCACGGACACCAATATTATGGTGGGCGGCGCCCTGAGGGTCCATCCCCGGCGATATTGTTCATATGCACGCTCGACCCAGCTGAGGCAGCTAGCTGGGCCGAGCTGGTGGATGCCCTCGAAGGGCAAAATCTCAGCCAGGGGGTTGATGTGGTTTCGTGGAGGCTTGCCGCCTCCCAAAAGTTTTCAGTTAAATCCCTTTATGACAAGTTGACCGAGGCGACACGCTAGACATGGCTAAGGGCTATGGAGGCCGGTCCCCCCTCAAGATCAAAAATTTTATGTGGCAAATGTGTTGGGGAACGCAGTAATTTCAAAATTTTCCTACGCACACGCAAGATCTATCTAGGTGATGCATAGCAACGAGAGGTGAGAGTGTTGTCCACGTACCCTCGTAGACCGTGAGCGGAAACGTTATGACAACGCGGTTGATGTAGTCGTATGTCTTCACGATCCGACCGATCCTAGCACCGAAGGTACGG